TCCCCCGGGCGCGGTGGGGACCCCCCGAGCCCAGCCCCGGAGGAGGGGGCTCGCCGGGCGCTGGGCCAGCGCACCCGATGCCCGGCACCGAGGCTCACAGAGGCAAAGCCATCGGCGTTCCAGCCCCTGCCCCAGCCCGGGGTAACGCTGCGGTGTCGGGCGCTGCCTGCCCGTCTGGCATGAAGCGAAATGTTAAGGTCTGTCAAAGCTTTCAGAGCGCGGCATGTCGCAATTAGGTGGAAATGAGTCTAGAAGAACGGTGGTTTTTCTCACGTACCGTATACAAACAGCATGTAATCCGCATGTGATTTCCCCACCGCGTTTGAAGCCTCACAGCGGTATGTACCATTATCTGTTTTGTTTAGGTTACTAATGAGAAGGTTTGAACCAGACACTACAACGTGTTGAGGCATCTCATCATCTACTCTTAACCACCTCATGTCCGTAGGCCTACAGAGGAGGGAGAAAAAGAAACAATCACATTACTATTTTCCTATGGTACAGACGGCATCTTCAATAGTTCATCCACAGACAGAAAGCCCAAACCAAGAAAAACTGTAAAGAAATAACACATACTTTTTTTTTTTTTTTGCGCTACTCAAGCCCCGAGGCTGTCGGGCTTCCTCAATTTAAATTTATTTTAACCCAACAGGAAACTGTATCCAGACCTTAAATTTTCTGCAAACACTAATGCAAGCAGGAAGAAAGTTCATTAGTGGTTAATCATTCGCTTACTCAGGCAACCTGAAACCTTCGAGGCTACGGACTAAAGGTGCATCCGCAGGGGGCTCCGAGCGCAGCTCTGGACGGCGTGTGGCAGAACGAGGACCTTTGGGTCAAGCCTGAACCCTTCCGCAAAGCCACACCGTGGCCCCGTTCAGCTCCGCGGTGGCGGTGCCGCTCGCTGAGAGCCCTTCGGCTGCTGGAGGGGGGGGGACCGTGCTCCTCTCCCGGCCCGGCGCGGCCGCTCTCCTGCAGCCCTCTGCTAGCCCGGCCGGCTGAGCGTCCTCCCCGCATCACGCAGGGAAGGAGATGGCTGTGCTCGGGGAGGGCTCGCAGAGAGCGCGACTGCGGCGGGGCCTGGCAGGGGGCTTTTGGGGTTTTAAAGCCGCCGTTTAATAACTATTGGAGTCTTTAGGGCAGCAGCGAGGACAGGCCAGCTATGCCCGAGGCGGCCTTGCCCAGCGAGGAAAACGCAGCGGCTCCCAGGGCGGCTCGAGGGCGAGCTCTGAAAGGGGGGGGCGATGCAGTAAAACACGCTCCTGCCCGCCTAGGTCCGCACTTTTGAAGTCGGGCTTCGCCGGGAGCTGGTGCTGCTGGAGGCGCCCGGCAGCCCGGCTCCTCCCTGC